TTTTTTTGAGTACCATCAGCGTGGCGGCGTGTTTTTTATTTTGTAAATATTAAAAAAATAATATTTTTTTTATTTTAAAAATAAAAAAAACTCCAGTACACTTTAATTAAAACTCCAGTACACTTCTGTATAGGGCTGGGCGACATGAGCAAAAGTTCATATCTCGGTATTTTTTGGCTGATTTGCGGTATACGGTAGCCTATATATCTCGGTATTTTGTATTTGGATTAAACAAATAAAGTGAATGTAAGCATGTAGGCATATATTATGTGCAAAAAAGGGTTAAAATCACATTACATTGTAACATTGCAATCTAAAAACAAAAATAATCCTTTTAAAGCAGAAGGTAAAGTTACTAAACTAAAAATGAAAATAATAAAAAGCAGACTAATTGAGTATAAAGGCTATTTTGATTACCCCATTACACTTTAGTTAGTGCTATCATACAAATAAACTTACTTGTAGGTTTAAAATTGTACATATGTCACATTTATTGTCCAACTACAAATATTTCAGCAAAATTTATATTTTAGTCAGAGTTATTGCGCTCCTATTTCATTGAGCTCTGTCCGTTTGGCGCGCTCGTTCTAAATGAAGTCTGTGGAGTTTAGCGGAGAATCGCAAAGCAAAAGCTCATGCACTTCTGACAGCAAAATGGAAATATTTCCATGGTTCTTTTAACATTTACAGATGGAGAATATACCTGTGAAATGTAAGTTATGCATTAAGGAAAACAGCACATCTCAAACACATTAAACCGTGATAAACTATAGGCTACTAGGAGAGAAATAAAACGCAGAAATTATTTAAATGCAAAACCAAAAAAAAACCCCGCTCTGATTGGTTGAACTCATCGTTTTCTGTTGCTTGTTTTGAATACTGCGCGTGGACAGAGGCGTCACTAGATTTTTGCATAGTTTAGTGACAAATCGTACCAGCGTACTTTGAGGTCAAAATGCGTAGCCGCTACGCAAAATGCATACAGGTTGGCAGGTCTGCGAATTGTTGAATAAAGTCGTTTTTTTTCTTTTGCTCAGGGTCAGACAGCTCTCAGATCCATCAAAAACATCTTAATTTGTGTTCCGAAGATGAACAAAGGTCTTACGGGTTTGAAACGACATGAGGGGGAGTAATTAATGACAGAGTTTTCATTTTTGGGTGAACTAACCCTTTAATGGCTTCAAGTAAAAACAAAAAACTCAACAGACCCAAAACCAACTTGAGTTGTAAAACAACTTCAAGAATGAAAAACTTACTCTCAGCGGTTTGCACTGCTTCCTAACATAACGGCCCGAGGAGCTGTGAACGTCCCAGTCAAGCTTATCATGGTGAACGTATCTCTTCTTCCTGCATAATGAGAAAAAAAAAAAAAAAAAGATATTTTGATTCTGTTTACTTCAAACAAGAGCAGTATGTAGAATTAAAACTAATATAAGAAAAGGTTCAAACTATAAACAAATCTGCCAATTCCTTCAAAAAGATCAAACTAAGAAATAAGGAACAGCTTTTCAGAAACTACAAACAAGATTCTTCCTCCTTTTGCAATTGTTATGCCTTTTCAGGCATCTGTGGTTCCTGGATACAGATTTTTCCAATTTTACTCATGAAGATACATTTCTATCTAATGAAATATTACAGAGCTTATTATATTATAGAACATAACTAGATACATTTGAATTAATTGTAGAAATTTTATTTAGTTTTTCCATTTCTATGACTTCCATGGCTAAATTAAGAGTTGTAAAATTCCCTGATATTACCACAAATCCTGCAAAAAATCCTGAAATTACCTTGTTTTCTGCAGCATGTGTGTCGGTATAGGGCCAAGCACTCGCTCCATCATGGCCAGATGCTCTTTACTGTCATGCGTCTGTAATTTCAAAAACCACAAACTACTATATAAGTGCTGAATCAAGTCATGTGTATCCAAAGTGAACAAATGAACTAATCTGAACTCACGAGGATAATGACCTGAAATAGAGTCGATCCCAGATAATACTCGATAAGAATGCAACCCACACTCCACACGTCACAGGAATGACTCCAGCCTAGATCTGTTAGAAACAGACAGATATCTCTGTTATAGCTCACAATACATGCTATCATAGCAAGTGTGCTATCAATGTACCTCAGAATGTAATATATATATATATATATATATA